GGCTGGCTGAAAGCAGGTTTCTGGGGTTTTGTTTAGCTTCTATATTTGTAACAATGTTTCAAACTGCAAGCTCAGAGGCCAGCAGCGGCAGGCGGGAATGTTGGCTTCCACCATCACTAAAGCAAGCAAGCCCCATGTTCGCTTCAAGCTGCCTGGCTGCCGGCCGCCATCTTGGCTGGCAGTTAATTTGCATATCGCCCTGATTAGCCAATGGGAAGGGTAGCGTAGGTACGGCTAATTACCATGTTTCTCTTTTATTAGATAGGATTAGGTGAAAGACACCAAAGATAGATTATGGGAATAAAGTATTCCCAACAATTAAAAATTTCACATTAATGCCACTTAAAAGTCCAATAAACTATAGCTCTTTAGGACTTTCATTAATTCCCTTAAATTACCACTTTTAAGTCCATGGTTACCACTCCATGTTTCAGAGTTCAAGAAAGGCTCTGAACAATATTTCCCTTCTATATTCACTACCCTTTAGCTAAGAAAACCACCAGTGGCCATTTTAGCCATTCTGATCATTTTCTATTCAGACTGTGATTTGCTATAATACAAATATTAATGATCTACTCCTGCAGTTCTTACCACTCCTCACATTTTCCCACCATTATCAATATCCTGCCAGTTCTATACACTGCAAGCTGGAAGTTAGTCATCTGTCTCCTTATTACATCTTTTCAATCTACTTATTCCATAACTTCTCCCAGATTTGTCCATCTTTTCTGTTCCTATCAGATCCTTTGAGTATGAACCAGTTGTTCTCCTTTACAATGGTAAAATGAATCTCCTTTATGCACTCTTGTTTTTATACTCACCTTCCTATCTTAAAACTGTAATTAATTTATTACATTTAAACAAAATAAGTTCAAGTTGCCCTACACTTGAATAATATCACACCATAATTTGTGCCTATTTGTATTCTACTGCCCCTGTTCAGACTAAATTTAGCATCACTCTCCTTTCCCCATGAGGCAAAGGCGAAGAGAATCTCAGAAACCTAGCCCGAGTCAGTCAAACCACTGATTCAAATCCAGAAACCATCTAACTCAACTAATCATTGTGAGAAAAAGAAACCTTTACTTATATATTTGAGCCATTATAGTCGGATCTCTTATTAATACTTCTGAACCCAATCCCTAATTGGTGCCCCCATATAATTAGGGTTTTACATTGGCATTTTATTTGAAAAAAAGAGTTCCACTGCTTAAAGGAAAACATCCATTTAAAAGGCACTGATCCTAATGAGCAATGATGAGGATCAGAAAAAAATGGATTTGATAGACGTTTGACAGGTAAAATTGACAGAATGTAGTGATGGGAACTAAATATGACTCATTCATCAAACATTTACTAAATAACTATTTGTACCAGAAGCTGAGACCATGCGGAGAAATACAACAAAACTACAGACCGTGGGAAAAGACAGACATAAAAACAATGAGAGCAATACAATAAATGCTATAAAAAAACTATGAGATAAAAGATGCTATGAGAACATAGAAAAAGAAGTGCATTACTCTTTCACGGAATATCAGACACATGGTCTCAACTGTTCCCCTGAGCTCCAGTAATTTATATCCAACTTCTTCCATGTCTGATGAATATCTCAAAAATTAACATGGTCAAAACAAAACTACTGATTTCCCACTATCCTCCAATCTGATCCTCTCTAAGTCTTTATCACTCAAGTAAATGGCACCATCATCTACTGAGCTGCTCAAGACAAAAAACAAAACAAAACAAAACAAAAAAACCTCGCAATTATCCAATACATATGAACATCCAATGTTAACTTTACCTTTATAATATATACCAAACTCAAGCTTTTATCATTATGTCCACTCCTAAAAGCCAGGTCAAACCCACTGACACATCTCAACCATTCTACTAAATTAACTTGTATTTCTGCTTTGGTCTCACCTGTCTAAATTCCATCCTCTGTACACAGTCAAAGCAATCTTATTAAAGTATAAATGAATTCACGTCTCTCCCTGTTCAAAATTTTCTAATAGTTTCCCAATGCAAAAAGAGTAAAAGCTAAACTTCTTATAATGGCCTGCAAAGATTTACATGGTATGGGCTTGCAAACCTCTCCAACCTCATTTTCCTCTATTCCTCCCCAACTTATCTTTATTATGCCTACTCATAATGGCCTTTAAAATTTTTTTTTACCTTATTCCTCTTTATAACAACTTTTGCACTAGATATTCCTTTTACTTGGAATATTCTCTCCCCAGTTTGTCTCATGGATATCTCTAATCATTCAACTATTGTTCAAATGTCTTCTTGGAGTGGCCTTCTCCAATCATTCCTAAATAATCTCTATCCTATTATCATTTTGTATTTTCTTTAGAGAATTTCTCATTAGTATCGTTATCTGAAGTTGAATTATTTACTGTTGTATGGTTATAGTCTGTTTGCTGACACTTCAACATAGAATCTTTGAAACATGGATGACGTTCAGTTCAAATCTATATCCCAAGTACCGAAAAACAGTGCCTGTCATGCAGTAAGTGCTTAATATATTATATGTCATTAGACTGACTTTGGGATTCAGCTTAAATGTCAGTTCTCCAAAGTTTATAATAAGACACAGAGGTTATAACTAAATAATTTTTGGCATTACCTAATTAACACCTAAATTATCCATGAAGTCAGATAAACTCTAAGATACAGAATCTAAGTATGTCTGAAATGTTCACCTCCCCTCAGCACCCAACCTGAGATACTTCCTGGCACAGTCAATGCTCAATTAAAAATTGGGATGGGGGAGGAGGAAGGGTTGGAAAAGCAGAAGAGGAAAGGAAAAAAAAGGGAAAAGAGCATAAGTAAAAGAGCAGTAAGAAAATGTAGCAGCAAGACAGACACATTTTTAAAATGTAAAAATTGCTTGTGTTTCTTCAGTTTTCTTTTCTTTTTAATTTCTTCATAGTATATTCCTTATATTAAACAATTCTGAAAACCACCATTTTGGCAACCTTCCTAATCTACTTCCATTATCATTATCTGCTTGTTTGTCTTTAGGATTGCACTCAGGATTATGCTCACTCAAAATTTGTTTAATCAGAACCTACTATTTTTTCACATGATCTAATTTTTTACAAAATGACTGTAAGACACCATGACTGATTTTCTAAAAACAAATTGATGTCAGAGCTTACATGTACAAACAAAAGTTGACTGAAGTCT